GTGGACCTAGGGCAGACCCATTATATTCAACGGTTTATTTAACTTAAATTTTATATGACTTATATACGCTGGGCGATTATAGAAGGAATCTATGGGTCTTCTAGGGTTCATTATCGCATAACATAGGAGCATTCATTCCACACTTAACTAAGAAAATATTGGATTTTCTGGAAACCATACTTTATCGCTTTTACAAGGAAAACGGTTTATTTCTCAAACAAAACTCTTATGAACTCACCAACTTAATTGTTGACACTTTTTCAAACCTACTTGTATTCTCAGGAAATCAGTGAAACAGGAAATCAACAGCATTTTGAGGATGAGACGTTAAATCGTCAAACAGTTTATTTTGTCATCATAATGTAATTGATTTGAAACATGTAAACATATACTTTGGTGTAACTTTTTCAATTATATTTATGATGGTTGTATTTACTTTGAGCACTATTATACTCGTTGTTGTGATACTATACATGAAGTCCTCCACCCCCGGACGTTTCCGCCATCCTTGGTTTGGGGGTGTGACAGATTCCTTAAACAAATTGCAAATTTGGTCCCTTCGTTGGGCTTACGAGATGGGTACGTTGGGTGTAGGTCCTTAAAGATGGACACAAATTCCCTCGTGTACGCTAGGCGTACGCATGCAGAGGGCGAACCCTAATTTTTAGGGTTTTGACCCTATTTAAAAAACTTCATAGCCTTAAATCCTTTCTTACCTCCAACCTCCATCTCTATTTGCCTCTATTTCAAAATCCTAATTCTTGTGTATGCGTTCTGAAGCTTTAGAGTGACATTTTGGTGTTCTTGGTGGTGAAGGAAGAACTTTGGAGTTGTGGTGTTGCTCTCAAGCCTTTGGATCCAAATTCTTCTCATCTTTGTGCATCTTCAGGAGGTATAAAGTTCAAATCTCGATGCTTGCCTTGTTAGATCTTGTTAGGTTGCTAGTTATGACCTTTTTTGTCGTCTCTTGCGTATTGTCTACTCGAAACCATTTGAGCTTTCCTTTCAAGCATTTTAGAGTGTTTAGTGTCATAAAAATGCAAGCTTGGACCTTGTTATTCTTCCATGCAAGAGTTATGGAGTTTTAGATGGTTAAATAGTTAGGATTATTAATAAATAATACAATTTAAATATAAATATTAAAACGTAGCACTTAGAAAAAAAAAATTATATATGATTGTAGTCACCCATACTACACTATGGTTAGAGGTCTTTAGAAAGTTTTGTTTTAACTGATATTTTATATTATTATATAGTTTAAATTATTATATAGTTTTGTATCAAATTAATATAAAACTTTATATGTTATAGATAATGGCAACAAAAAAATTATTTTTAATCAAACTTATATTTATATTTATATTTATATTTATATCTATATCATTTGTATTTAAAGTTAAATTATTTATATTTGACAATATTAACTTGAATTTCATTGATTTATTAACTTCCAATAATAATGTAAAAAATTAACTATATAATACTCTTTTTTGTTTATGTTTATTGAGTTCTAAATCGGTAAAATTATAAATAATTTAAACATGATTAAGACTATGTTAAATCAAAATTATATTTAATTTTTATTAGTAGTTGAAAACAATAATGATGTGTATTAATTTAGAACGAAAGTTTAATAGTAAGGTGGTTTCAAATCAATATAGTAAAACATAAATGAATTATCTTTAACCACATTAAAAGTTTAAAAGAATTGCCACCTTTATAATATACTAAGCGAATGTCCGCGCGTTGTGCATATTTAAAAAATTATTTATGTGCGTCCATATTCTATGTGTATTATTTATATAAGAGTAATTGAAATATATATCTTATTTAAGTGAGTCTTAGTAAGAGTAATTGAAATATATATCTTTAACCACATTGATGTAATAAAAAATTATTAATTGCATTGAAATTCTATTTTAATATTCCAAATTTTCAAATTCCAATTAAAAGTTATTTAAAAAGAAACCACTACAACAAAATAAGTTTTTTCATTTATGATACTTAATTGATACTTATGAGACTTAATTAAATAAGATTAAAATATTAAAATTGTGTTTAGTAAATTAAATGACTAATATAATCATCTAATTTTTAGTACCAAAAACCTTAAAACCAATAATTAAAAAGTAAATTATTTACATATATTGTTTTGTGTAAAAAACGACATTTATATGTATTAAATTACAATAACACATACATTGAAAAAAAATATTAATGTTTTTTTCTCCAAAGTTAAAATTCAAATGATGCTAACCAAATTTCATAAAAGTGCTGAAAACAGATTCGGTTAATTTGCCAAAAAATAATAATTGTTCTTTGTATTGTATTTAATTAGAATATCTTTTAGGAAAAAAAAGACAGTTAAATCAAATCATAATAAGTTATATTACCTTAGGAATTTACAGATGCAATGCATAATAAGTGATATTAGCTTAGGAATTTACAGATGCAATGCATGACACCATTTATACACAAATCATTTCATTATATACTTATAAAGGAAACATTTTTCCTTACACCACATTCATTTGAAACTTTCATTCCTTTTTCTTTTCACCACATTCATTTGAAACTCTCATGACTTTTCAATTTCTTTCTAATAATGATTATAAGTTGCTTAATAATGTTAAATAAATATCAAACCTAAAGTGTAATCATATACAAACTAAATTTCAATATTTAAAAGAATATATTTTCTTATACTTATAAAGTTATGTTTTTAACTTTTAACATAGTATACTTAATTTATTAGGTCTAACATGTTGTTGTATATAAACCATTATCATTTTGAAAATTTTGTATAAAATACTTAAATTGTTAATTTAAATATAACTTTACAATATCAACTTAAATATAAATTTTAGTTCAACTTAAACAACCCAAAGAATATTTAGTAAATAGTTAAAAGTGATAAATTGTAGTGTCTTTCTAATAATGATTATAAGTTGGTTAATAAGGTTAAATAGGTATCAAACCTAAAATGTAATCATAAATAAAATAAATTTCAATATAATACTTTTACTTCTACTTATAAAGCTAAGTCTTTAACTTTTAACAAATTATACTTAATTTATTAAATTTAATATGTTGTTGTATGGAAACCATTATCAGTTTAAACCTACAACTTTTGAACAGTTTGGACAAAATACTTAAATTGTTAATTTAAATATAACATTACAGGGTCAACTTCAATATAAATTTTAGTTCAACTTAAAAAACCCAAAGAATATTTTGTGAATAGTTAAAAGTGATAAATTGTAGTGCTAAATACAAAAACTAAATTGTCATATCATTTTAACTAAAATATTTCTTAAAGATATTTTTATAATTGTTAAAAGTTTTAAAATAAGTAGCTTAAAATAACTTACAATAACAATAGTTAAAAAAAAACTCTATATAAATGATTATATTGTTACCTTTAAAATCAAAAAAAATTGTTTGATGTTTTAAAATAATTACAAAATAGAAATTAAAACGTTAAGCAAATAAATTTTAAAAAATTAATTAACAATAACAACAACTATAAATAACATTAAACCATATATTATATTTAATTTTATTCATGAGTAACCTGTCAGTAGAGGTCATTCAAACGATTAAGATTATGCAGTTTTAATAGATTTATATATTATCATATAACTCAAAATAATCAATATATTATATCAACTTAGTATACGAATTATTATATCAAATTTAACAACAATATTATTTTTATATTTAAAAAAACATATATTTGTAAAGATTTCAGCTATATAGATGTTTCTGCGCAACGCGCGGGCAATAGCCTAGTGAATAAATAAATAGATGATTAAATTCAAAAGGGTTTAAAATATCTTCTTATGACCTTTGAAATACAAGATTTTTAAAATATCTTAAATGTGGAAAATTTTCAAACCGTAATTCTTAAAAAATATAAGAATGCATTAGGAGTATTTTAATAATCACTTTTTAAATTAATTCACACGAACCAATAATGTAGTCACCATATTGTTCTTTTTTCCCTAGTTATGCCTTGTATTTATTTCATCAATATAAACGTAACTCATTAAAAGTCAATACTCATATTTTCTTTCAAAAACACACTTCAAACACATTTATATTCATAACACAATTCAAAAACATCAAAATTTACAACACTTTTCTTTTTTCTTTAAATATACAACATTCACGTAAAATTGACAACACACTTTCAACACATAACACATCAAAATTAACAACCATTTTCTTTTGCCTATAATGTACAACCTTGAAACAATTTTTCATCATCTCTAAATACCAAAAACAATTGGATCGGATCATGTAGACAATAAAATTCAAATGGAATTTAAAGAAAATAGAAATAAAAAAGAAGTGGAAAGATGAAAACAAACCTATTTCAAACTTCTCCATTCTCGTGCAATATAGATAATGCAAATGATAACAAAAGACAACCAAATGATTTTTATATACACAACAAATTTCAATTAAGTAATTATTAAGTAGCATAAGGTGAAGACTTAGGAAGTGTCAAATGAATATGGTTCAAGATAGATGATTTATCTTAAACCACATTCATTTGAATGGTCTCGTTTATATATATATATATATATATATATATATATATATATATATAATATATATATATATATATATATATATAAAGGTTCATGTGAGACCATCATATTTTGTGAAACATGGGGACGCAATCCTAGCCATATATTTTGGAGATCAAAAAAATATTTTTAAAATGCAAAATAAATGGAAATTTTCAATTTTAGCCATACAATTTTATCCTTCATAATGCGCGGATATTTGTCTAGTATATATATATATATATATATATATATATATATATATATAAAGTAAAATTAGTTACCTTTGCGATATTATGTCATTGCACGTGATCTGGATTTGGATTGTTTATTTAGCGTTGCAACAGCTCTAAAAAAGTAAGCATTATTGATTTCTTAGAATCTATTGAAAAAATAACAGTCACAAAATACTAAATAAGAAACTTCTTACTTTTCGATATGTGTTATGATATCATAGTCTTCAAATGTCTTCATACCTTGACATGAATCCAAAATGTAGTACACATGTGTACGAGGGCAGACTACAAATAATATGTAGTGAAACCTAGTAAAGTTTAAACATGTCAGCAAAAATTATTGACAAACATATAAGGCGTATAACATTTTCTAAAATATCATACCCTTGCAAATACGGTGCTAGAAAAATATCTTTATCTTGATGAAAGTTCATTGCATCAACTAACTCATTTACAACAACGTTTGTTCCGAGTTCCTCATCGGTTCCACATTGCAAGGCCGTGATTTTTTGCGGGTTTATGAAGGCACATTTATTATCGTGTTGAAACATTGAATGTAGCATCCTGAAAAAAATGTATATATTATAAAGGTAAACTACTATGAAATATTAGTTATTTAAATGTTAACATACTCACATCTGAAAGCAAAAAATAGAATCAACATCGAGTTGCTTATTCGTCATAAGCTCTTTAATCACGTCCGGATAGATTACAACGTCAGTCCTCCCAGCTCCAAAGATCCCTGGCTCACTTCTAACATGAATTGGATATTCAATGTTGCGGCTCATAAAATTTTTATACAATAACTTGATCTTCGGCCTGCCATTTAGTTCTTTTGGCATCACAAATTGTCGTATTTTCTTTGTAAGGGGCAAACTGTTGGTCTCCTCGTACTTTCTTTTTTGGTGTATCTACATTAAAAAACCATTTGATCAACTAAAAGTTTTAAGGCCTAACAATAAGTTTAAGCTACTACTTTATCACCAGGATTATGAGAAGTATTAACCTGTGTTGATGTCGGTGTTGGTGTCGGTGTTGGTATTGTCGTCGGTGTATGGGGAGGTCTTTGATCTTTTTGCACAGTTGGAGTGGGCTGGGAAGCTTAGAAATGGTTACATATTGATTTCATTATATATGACTATAATATTAAAAAATAAAGGAAATTTGTATTTTACCTTAACTAGAGCAATTGAATTTCGTGGCCATTGTGTAAAACCATACAATGCATTCCCCAAATTACATGTTTCTTCAGTCGGCACATGAAGAGGGAACAACTTATAACCATCATAAATCTTTCGTACAAATACCTTCACATGATGCTCTTTGAGCGGTATCCCATGTAACATCCCATTCTCTGATGGGTAGACTTTCCCTTCGGCAACTATATGATGTTGTGTATCGGATGGTAGCAGCAACCGACACTCAATGGGAGCCTACACACACATACACACACACACACACACACACATATATATATATATATATATATATATATATATATATAACATGTACTTAATTAGTTTGTTAATGCGTGTTTAAATATATTCTATATGAAGAAACAATGTATACCTTTATATTATCTAATGCATCCATCATTGTAGATACAACACTAGGTTTCTTCAATTTTGGGCTTCTAACTTTTATCTCCTCGTTCCTACGAGTATCATCATGTTGCATCATGCCATGATTCATACTAGTAGCCACCATAGAGTCGACCATGTCTCCAACAGTATCTACCACCTTAGCCATCATATCAGGCACCATATCAGTCATCAGCTTATCATATAATTTCTCATATAACTTATTAAACAATCTCTCCTCTAGCCTCGTCACCAAATCTTCCAAATCTGGTAACTCTTGTTGTTTCTTATTTCTCTGGTTAATCCTTGATTCTTTTAGAGTGACATTATAACCCACCGCCCTCGTGCGACCTGAGTGCTCTTTTCCTAAAATCGTTGCCATCAAATCAACTCCGGGTTTATCTTTTGATATATGTACATGCAAACAAAAGGATTTTATTAAAACTTACTTATTAAATAAATGGTATATAGAGATGAAGAAAAAAAATACACTTACAAACTCATCCGCTAATTGCTCACTCTCAGGCGCTACAATGTAATCCCCTGAGGGAGTGCATTTTGTCCTAGCATAGATAAAATCTCTTGCCTGCTCGCTTGATATATGGTGTCCTTTTATTTTCGCACCTAACTCGATATCTTTATCCCACCGAGCTTTGTTCCCACGATACCCCAATGGGCCTAAGTGCACTGGATTTTTGTTCTTCTTCACAGTCTCTTTCCCCTTTTTCCTTTTTTCCTTCACACATATAAATGCAATTAGAATATGTATTGTATAAAAATATCATAAATAGGTACTAAAGCCTAAAAAACCTGGAATTCTTCAGTGGATTTTAGCTTAACAAAATCTTCCCATGCTTCTTTGGTTAGGTACGGGTAAAAACTTGATGCATCAAGACCATTGTCCATGAAATCAGTAACAAGCGTCGACTTGTAGGCCCTCCATGACTTGTTGCATACTTGAAGTGTTTGTTTTTTGGGAGCATCATTTGGTATATTCCAATAATTCTGTTTTTTTAAATAAAGTATAGTAACTATTAGTAACAATTATTAATTAAAGAACATTTAGCAAGTAATAAATATCATACCTTAATGTCCAACCACAAGTCATGGAGCTCTGACTTAGATACTTTATCCCAACTCTCTTTAAGGATAGAAATCCTACTCCTGGCTGTGACTCCACAATAACTTGCAAACTTAGGTTGATACTCTCCAATAGCTCGATTATGTTTATCGAAATCAACATGCATTGCTGCTAATTTTTCTTTAGTCTTTTCCCTTATCAATGTGACGCTTCTCTTACTCCTTTCTATATTTTCCATTGTTGGACGGGTAGGTTACTGTAGAACTCGGATTCAATGCAACTATCATGTTAGTTTAGTAACAATTTGTTTAAATTCATCCCAACAGTTCAACAAAAAATCGGTCAAAACCGTTCTAGTCAAACCGGAATACCCGGTATATATTAAAATATTATTAAATTTTGTACTAAAAGAAAATGCATGGACACCAATGTTTTGATTATGTAGGTCCACACTTTGCTTTTTAAAACTACTTAACACTCCCCTCCCTTTATAAAACTCTCATACACTCCTAAATTTTCTTTTCTGGTGGGATGTGGCATGTGGGAATATGAATTGTGATGCAACCTAAACATATAAAAACAATCATAATTCTTCTCCCATATTCTAATATTCAATACAATCTAATACATTTTTTTTATTCTTTCTATTATCTTTATTTTTTTTCAAATAAAATCTACATAATGACATTTATTGTTACTTATTTTTATTGCAGACTGTTCTAGGATGCCATATTTCATCTTTTCTCCACTTTATGATGCTTATCGTGGATTAGATAAACAAAAACTATTTATATTATTGAACAAAAGTTTAAGAAAAAATCACATGTAACTTATTAGAACGCAGAGATGAATTCGATCGACCTTTTGTACAATTGGGTATTTAGTTGTTTACTAATAGTATAAAGAAGAGTGAAGATGGTAGCGGGTCACGTAGTAAAATTAGAACAAACTGTTAAAAAACGTCGACTAAAAGAAACATACCTGGTGGTCAACGACTGTGAATGTGGTGGCGGAGGTTTGACCGGTGGTCGCCGGTTATGGAGAGTTTATGGCCAATTGACGTCTAATTTTGACAGATGGTCACTGGCGATAAAGGCAGAGTTGATAGTAGTCGCCGGTGATGAAGAATTGCTAGTGTCGCCGTCTTTGTTGGCGAAAGATGCTGCAACGTGGAGAGGGTAAACACGGTAATTCTTGGAGGAGGATACTTACGGTCTAATTTAGGGTACAGGGGGTAATTTTTGGATGGAGATTTTAAATACTTTGGGTAAATTAATTGCCCTGTTCCAATAAACGATCGGCCCATTTTTTTTTCTTAGTTATTTTTCTAATATATGCAATCGGAGTTGGTACATTTTTAACAAAATACCATTTGATTTTGTTTTTCTAATACACTCCCCATCATTGTCATATGTATTTACCTTTTCTTACATACCCATGATATATATATATATATATATATATATATATATATATATATATATATATATATATTAATCGATTACAATAATTTTGACTTTTAACTAGTTTATTTGAAAATTTTGAAAGATTTTAACTATATTCTAATTATATAACATACATAATGAATTCTATAATATTAAATAATAAATAACAAAAGCAATATATTTAAAAAAAACAAAATATTAAATTATTTACAATATTGAACTAAAATACATTATAATTAAATAAAAGAAAACAAAGTCAATAAACACAAATATCTTCTCTAGTAGATGTCTTCCTAACTAAGATGTCATTTTTTTGTTTCTGCAAACAAACAAAAAATAGTAAGTATATAATGTCATAATCTATTTCGTTTCAAATGACAATCAAGTTGTTTTGTTATGGTTTTTTAAATTAAATGAATGACATTATACCTTTTCCTCTTCTTAGATTCAACATAAACTCCTTCGTTGTGGTCTGACCTTAAATAAACACTATCATTGATAATGACATCTGAAGATGTGATGCCGATAGAAAATGGAGGTAGCTCGTCAAATTGGTTGTATTCTTCCTCGTCCTCAACATTTTCAACACCAAGTATACGTCGTTTACCTTGTAGGACGATGTGTCATCTAGAATTCTTTGGGTCCTCAACATAAAATACCTGATTAGCTTGATTGGCTAGAATAAATGGCTCAGATGTATAGCCATCTGTGGAAAGGTCAACAAGTGTGAAACCATCTTCGTCAACTTTAACACCTCCTTTATTCTTGACCCACTTACACTTGAAGAGCGGTACTATAGTTGATGAATCATATTTTAATTCCCAAATTTCTTGAATGACACCATAATATGAATATTTGGCTATTATAGCTCGTGCCTCATGATTCACATTAGAGTATCCAATCGAGGTTGCTATTAACGTCACACCACTATTTTGTTGTGTACTCTTTCGATCCTGTTTTTCAGTGTAAAATGTATATCCGTTAATGTCGTAGCTCTGGTAAGTGGACACGGCATTTCGCGGACCATACGCTAATAATTTAACCAAAGGATCAAGAGTTTCTCTATCTAACTTTTCTTTCACCTTTTCCTTCAACCATGCTGGAAATGTTCTGATTTGCTCCTTAACATACCATTTCTCAGACCTTTGTTTGTTTCTAGACCGTAACTTTGACATGTGCTCATTTATGTACGGAGCAACAACTGTCATGTGTTGTAACACTGTAAAATGTGCTAGGTGGAATTCATCACGATTAGGCACGATCACTTTCAATCCAACTACACCTATACCTTGAAGTCTACCTTCATGTCTTGATTGTGGCATCCCAATAGCGGGAACACCTTTCAGATAGTTTGTACAAAATTCAATCACCTCTTCTGAAGCATATCCTTTAACAATACTGCCTTCTGGTCGATGTCGATTTCTTACATACCCTTTTAAGAAACTCATGTATCTCTCAAATGGGTACATGTATCTCAGATATACTGGACCACAAACCTTTATTTCTCTTACAATATGAGATACAAGGTGAACCATGACATCAAAAATGAAGGTGGAAAGTACATTCCAAGTTGGCATAAAGTGATGATCATATCGCGTTGCCATGAATCTAACACTTGGGGATCAATAACCTTTGAATGAATCATGTTAAAAAACAAGCATAACTTTGTAATTGCGTGTTGGACGTCATCTGGTAGTATTCCACGGATTGCAATGGGAATCATATGTGTGATTAGAACATGAAAATCATGCGACTTCATACCCATTAATTTAAGGTCTTTCATTGACACCAACCTACTGATGTTTGAAGAATAGCCAGATGGAACTTTCACACCATGCAAACATTTACAAAATTTTGTTTTCTCATCTTTAGACAAAGTATGACAAGCTGGTGGTAAATACGTGCGCTTTCCTTCTTTTTCAACGGGTGCAAGTTGTGGTCGTATTCCCATTATCACCATGTCCCTTCGAACGTTGACCCCATCCTTTGATTTCTTATAAATGTCCAACAACAATGCTATCAAGGCATCACAAACATTCTTCTCGATATGCATAACATCAAGACAATGTCGTACCTCTAACTTTTCCCAATATGGTAATTCCCAAAAGATAGACCGCTTTTTCCAATTACTTGGCTGCTTATTGATATTGTGTTTTCCAAACTGAATATCTAAATTCTGAACTCGGGAAAATGTAGTTTTTCCGTCCATTGGGTCAGGCATATCTCGCTTTTCAGTTTTACCATCAAACAAATCTCCCTTCTTACGATAAACATGGGTCTTTGGAAGAAATCGTCGATGGCCCATATATACATGTTTCTTGCATTCTCCCAACCATAAAAATACTGTGTCTTTTTCACAAACTGGACAAGCCTTCTTTCCTTTTGTACTGTATCCAGACAAATTTGCGTAAGCTGGAAAATCACTTATAGTGCAAAATATCATGGCGTGTAGTTGGAAATACTCCTTCTCAAATGCATCATACACTCTAACACCAAAATTCCATAATACTTTCATTTCCTTAATTAATGGAGCCAAAAACACATCAATGTCATTACCAGGTTGTTTTGGACCTTGAATTAGTAATGTCATCATGATGTATTTTCTTTTCATGCATAACCAAGGTGGAAGATTATAAATGCATAGAAGTACTGGCCATGTGCTATGACTGCTACTCATGTTTCCGAACGGATTGATTCCATCTGAACTAAGTCCAAACCGAATATTTCTAATCTCACCACCAAATTCTTTAAATTCAGAATCAATATTCTCCCATTGAGGAGAATCAGCCACATGTCTTAATTTTCCGTCTACCGTACGCTTATCGGCATGCCAACGTAACAATTTCGCATCGTCGGCGTTTGCAAATAATCGTTTCAATCTTGGTATGACTGGCAAATACCATAACACTTTTGCAGGGGTGCCGTTCTTTTTCACATCACTGTTTACTTTTGTTTGTTTCTTTTTCATATATCTTGACGCCCCACAAGTGATACATTCATGTAGATTAGCATGCTCATTTCTATATAACATACAATCATTTGGACATGCATGTATTCTTTCGACTTCTAAATCCATTGGACACAATAGTTTTTTGGCTTGGTATAATGAAATAGGCAACTCATTATTTTCAGGGAGCATGTCATGTAGAAGCTCTAGCAAGTCCGTGAAACTTTTATCACTCCAACCATTGCTTGCTTTTAAATTAAACAATTTTAGCACGGCGGAAATTTTGGTAAATTTAGTGCAACCAACATACAATGGTTTTTCAGCGTCGTCAAACATTTGTTGAAATTTTTCATAATCTTTATCGGGAATATTATCTTCGATATCATGCAGCATGTCATCTACTTTATCAGAATTTTCATTTTGTGGATCATCAATATCATCACCATTATTTTGAGTATCAACCATGTTACGATCAACAAATAATTCACCATGTCGTGTCCAACATGTATAGCCATTCATAAATCAATAGCATATCAGATGTTCTTGTAGTATGTTTAATTCCCTAAACTTTTTGCAGTTATGACACTTTTTACAAGGACACCAAATGTGAGTCTCTCCTTCTTTCACCCGATGATCATCAGCAACTTTAAGAAAAAAATTCAAGCAATCTAAATATTCATCGCTAGCACGGGGCAAGTCATACATCCAAGTTTCACGGTCCATCTATAAAGTGTAAAATCAATATTTAGTAAATACATATACATGAGATGAATATAGATGGTGCATGTAGACACACTTAAACCACTTTTTGAATAATTTGTCTAGGGAATAAATATTAACATATCG